CCTAGTGATTTATTTTAATTTTTTAAGACTTACTTACTTATTTAGAGAGAGAGCACAAATGGGAGAGGCAGAAGGAGAGGGAGAGAGAATCTCCAGCCGACTCCCCACTGAGCCCCACATGGGTCTCAATCTCAGGACTCTGAGATCATGACCTGAACTGAAATCAAGAGTCAGAAGCTTAACTGACTGTGCCATCCAGGCATCCCCCTGCCACCAAGTGATTTATTTTATAGTGATTCTACAATGAGGGGAAGTCTCACCCTACTATGTATCAGAAACTTTTTAAAGCAACAGTGTCTAAAACAGTGGAGTGATGCAGGAATAGATAGATATGTAGCCCAGATACTACAAGAGACCTCTCTGCCCCTTGGCGATTTAAATATAAACTTTTCTTGACCCTGACTTCCTGGTCAGTGAGAGTTAAGAGAAATGCCTGTCGTCCTGTGACTTACAGGATGAGATTTCTGTGCTTGACTAATGCACCTCATGTTTCTTGCTTCTGCTTGCATGCCATCCTGATTTTTGCCAGTGCCAATACCAATGTGAAATCAGGTCCTTTTTAACTAGTTTCCAAAACTTATTTAGCAGTTTGTAAGTTTAGAAACTCTTGAGTAGGTGACAGAACCAGCAGAATTTTTTCTTGGTCTTTGAGCAAAATGTTATTGTCCACATCCATGCCCTCCTTCTACTCATACACTTTCCTAAATTAATACAGTTGCTTTCTTAAGGAAATTCTGAAGATTAAACCTTTCTTCCATTTTGTAAAACATGGATCACTGCAGCATTATTAGGAATCCAAAATTAGTCCCATCTACATATAATAACTGAATATATGATAAAATATTCTTTCCTATAGGAGAGGCCACTTAAAGGATATTTACTCAATAGTATTAAATAGTAGTCTTCAGTGGTGTAACTGCAAAACTGATTAGACAAAAAAAAAATTCATCCATACTTTATATAACCATAGGAATTTAAAAGAAAAAGCATAGAAAATACCTTTACATCTCATATTTGATGCATTAGTGTAACTCTCCAAGGTGTAAAGATGTACTTGAATATCTAAAAAAATTGTTTGACTGAAATAATTAAAAGGATCACAGGAGATTGTAGGAAATCTCTGCATCAAAAGTTACAAAGAAATGATAATAGCTTTAACAGTTTTATATTATTGCAGAATATGCTAATTTAGACATCAAGATCCTAATATATAAATGAGAAAAAATATGACAGATTAAGAATATGAAAATGAATATGAATAATAAATGCAAGGGAAAATATCTACCCTTATACTTATCACAAAGTTACAAGTAAAATGACTTTCCATGGTTTTTTCATTGTATTAAAGGAACTAAATTCTTTAAAAAGAAATCTAATATTGGCAAGATAAACAGTGATACCAAACTCTTTTGGAAGGTAATACCGGGAGTATATGCTGATAGTCACAGTAATGTTCAGATATTTCACTCATAGGAATTTAGGAAATAAATATTGTGCTAATTAAAAGTCATAGATATAGAAGAAAAATGCTTAGAGACTAATTATAGAACATCAATGTAAAATATCATGTTGTCTTTAAATAATTATTTTTGAAGATTCTAGCACAGTTGTCCAATAGAACTTTCTATGTTGATGAAAAATTCTATAATTTGCACTGTCCAGTATGGTATCCATTAGCCACATGTAGCTACTGAACATAAGAAATGTGGCAAGGGCAACTGAGGAACTGAATGTTAAGTTTTATTTCACATTATTTATGCTGAAATACTCACGTAAGGCTAGTAGCCATGGTATTGGACAGTGCAGTTCTAGAAATATGGAGAAATGTTAGGTGAAAATAAGTTTATATGACATGATTACAAGAATGTAAATAACTTGTATGTACATAAGGAAAGTGATATTCACAATTAAAATATCTGTTAGGATAGAAGGAAATGGGTGATTTTTTTTTAAATGCTGATTAAAAGATCAGGTGAAAATAATACACCACTCCAGCACTGTGCTACTCAGTATGGTACCCACTAGCTTGATGTGGCAATTTTCATTTAAACTAAATTAAATAAAATTAAAAACTCAGTTCCTCAGTCACACTAGCCACATTTCAAGTGCTCAATAGCACACACGGCTAATGTTTACCATTTAGACAGAGGAGATTATAGAACATTTCTACCACTGCAAAAAATTCTATTGTATAGTTCTGTGGAACTGATAAAAGGAATGTACTGCAACAAGTCATTTGATTATTAGTAATTTCTAAGGGCACAAATGAATTAAAACTGGAAAGTGAACTTAGTGAAAAAGTATAAGGAGGAACAGTGTTGTAAGACCTTATACATGTAACTTAGATCAGCTTTCCGTAAAATATGGGCTGCAAACTAGTGCTGGTTATACCAGTCCATGACTAAATGCTTACTCTCAATTTCATACTTGTTTAGAAACTTTTATAGCAATGTGATAGTTGTTTGTCATCCAAGCACATCACCTATCTTATCTCATTGAACTGATCTAGTTATTAATGAAGCTACCTGTAGAGTTCTATGTAGTATAAGCTGAATATTAGTTTGGAGCAATAGTAGTCCATGAGTATGGGTCCCCAATGGGAATAAAAACAGTTCTTTACTACAAATACCATGTGATTTCACTCATATGTGGAATTTAAGAAACAAAACAGATGAACATAGGGGAAGGAAAAGAAAAAAAGAGAGGGAAGCAAACCATAGAGACTCTTAACAATAGAGAACAAACTGAGGGTTGCTGGAAGGGAGGTGTGTGAGGGGTGGGTGAAATGGGTGATGGATATTAAGGAGGGCACTTGTTGTGATGAGCACTGGGTGTTACATGCACCTGATGAATCACTAAATTCTGCTCCTGAAATCAATATTACACTATAGGTTCACTAACTAGAATTTAGTATAAATTTGGAAAAAAAAATTTAAAAAACAGTTCTTTACTATAGGCAGTATGAGAAACATTGGTCAAGATGAAGAAGAGAAAGGCTGCTCAGGGCAATTTTTTAAGGAACCTAAAGTAGTTGTTAGTATAGCTTAATATATACTTGCAAGTGAAATTAAAAATTGAACACTAGATCTCTGAATGTGATAAACTTAGACTTCATCCCTCCTGCTAGTAGAAATAAGACCAAAGATTCATTCTTCAATAATGTGAGTAAAGATTTTAAAGGAGTTCTTAGTCAGTGCCTCTATTTTGGGTGTCCTATTTTCCTCCTGGGTATGGAGGAGATTCAACTAGCTAGCCGAATCTTTTCCTTTTAGCAAAATTTCCAACCTAGTGTTTTCCTTTACCCCTTCTAAGCTCCTTTTGGCATACTGTTACACTTAGTTCTTTGTAACTCTTTTCATCTCTTCCCCACAAAGTTAGTTTCAAAGGCTTGCAAAATGTCCCAAATGAGAGAATTGTTTTAGACTAAGCTTCTCACGTTTTATTTTAAAATTTCCTTTTTTCACACTTAAGCTTAATTGATTCCCTGATACAAGATATTCAATTGAATTATTTGTGAAATGTGAAAAGCTTTTTACTACTATAATTAAGGTATAATCTGTTAGCTAAAGCATTGTTTTAATGATACAGGGTAAGCATAATCCTAGATTTACTACCTATTTTTTTAATTGTGGTTTTGGCTGTACATTAAATGACTGCCTATTCCCTAAAATGAAATGCCCCATATGGGCTGTCCAGTTTGTTTTGAGGACCAATTCCACATTTGTGAAATTTGGGGTCAAATGAAAGCAAGTACTTACTATATAATAGTTATTTCTTCTGATTTTAGTGACCTTGCATTTTGGATTAAAAAACATATACATATTCAGTCCTTCATCAATATGATTGATTAATCTGTTACTGATTTTAGCATTTCTTCTTTTTCTCCCTAATTTATCAAATGTGAAAAGGGCTAGAAAACACTTGAAGGAAATCAATCTGTTTTCAGTAACAGTCTATAAGTAACAGAAAAAGAAATAAATGAATAGTGTTCAGCATTTCTTGTTTAAATTTTGTGTTTTTTGAGATTGAAAAAACTGTACATATTTAAAATATATATAAATATATTGATAGAATGGCATCTTCTGATTTCACTTTAATATTACGATTTGCTTTACTTAGGCAGAATTATAGATAATCATATTATTACTTGGCTTATGTAGTATAGTATCTTCAAAAGATGAAAAATAATACTAATGTATTAAGAAAGCATGTTCTTATCTGTATTAAGCTTATTTTGTTTGATATTTGGTAATATTATTTTTAAGATACAGTGTATGATTTCCTGATCTGAACAAAGTATTCCATTTCTTTTTAGGATTTGGGTTGTAATAGATTTATAGCATTTTCTCATAAATATGTTAAGGTACAGCATTTTAAAAACATTCTTAATATGTAGTTAGAGGTTTACATTACTAATATTTTTATATAACACGCTTCAGACTCCTTAGAATATTTGTAGACTTCTAATTGTTTTATTTTATGCAAGTATTGACCTTGAGAATATTGACTAACAGGTTAATATTCTTTTGTTCAAATTTTTTTAGTGCTTACTATGTTTTAGGAACTATTTAAGGCTCTTCAGATAATCAGTGTTAAAAAAAAAAAAAAGTCAAAACCCTTTTCCTCTGGAAGCTTACATTCTAGTAGTCTTCAATGAATTTAGCTTTACTGATTTTTCTAATGGAATTTACAAGTATGATCATTTGGCAACCCAGGATTTCTCTGTATTTTTCTCAACTTCCCAACTGATAATTCAGTGCTGGGGTAGAAGTTTAAACTAGCCACTTGAAGTTTTGGGTTTATGGAGTAGTGTTTGGAGTATGCAGTATTCTTTAGGGAAGATACTCTTTTTTTGAAAGAAGAGAATGTGGTTTTGAAATACTCATGATTTTATCTAATTTCTTTTTTTCAGAACCTACATTTTGTAATATATAGGTAGATAAACTTGAACCAGATGGTATGATCTCAGTATAATATTTTACTCTTCTCTCCTCCTTCAGGAAAATCTTTAACTTCCACCACAAGAAGATTAAAAAGAGGTCCCTCCTGCACCAAGAAAGATCTGCAGATCTTTTTCAGTGTTCTTGGAGGTGTGGGGTGTGAGAACTTGATCAGTTTGTGTCAACCACCTTGTTCTCTAAAGGTAAGCACTGTGTAGTGAGTGCACACTCATGGGCCCAAGCTCCTAATGCAGGTCTGGTTTTGGAATGCTCCATTGAGGGTTTGAGGCCATCAGCTTTCCTCATAGAAGGATGGCCTAGGCAGCCACTTGTGGGCAAGACATCGCACACATTCATCAAGAGATGGTTTTCCTTGTTTAGAAGTGAAGCATGTCCTAGAGATGTATGGGTGTTTTTTTAAAAAAATTCCCAATTATAGTAAAACTTGTCTTCCAGTTCAGCCTGCATTTAAATCAGTTTAATAATTGCTGTGGTTGATCCCTCATCAAGAACTCTTCTTGGATGTCTTGAGATTTACATTCAAGAATTTTGAAGCAGTGACAGTGTTTAAGCAGTCTCGTGACTTAATAGCTTAAAGTGATATAAACCACTCTGAAGAGTTGCTTTTCATGATCTTTTTGAAGCTGTCTCTTACCTTTACTTCAGAGAAAGTCCCTTAAACCATTTTTTAAAATATGTATTAAGCTTCAGAAAGTATGGAAGCAAAGACCTTCTTAATCTTTAATTGCTTATGTCAGATCCTAATTGAAAAAAATTACTTAAAATGAGCAGTTTTTTTTCCTGATAGCTTTTTCCTTTCTTTAGGAAATGAAGAAATATACATTGTTGGTTCCCTGAGGGAAACCTCATAAAGGATAAATAATGTCTCGCCTTTATTTCTAAACTCTAGTATCAGAAAACCTTATGGTTCTATTGTACAATGTATTGACACCTCCCAAAAAGACCAATCTTAAACTAAATTGTCATTTGAAAAGCATTCATTTATTATGAAAAAGAACAGGAGCATGTTGATTTTGAAAATACCAAGATTAAAAGTAGGTTAGCATTAAATAAGAATAATTTGGACTGCCACCAAGAGACTAAATGTCTAACCAAACATTCATGTTATAGTCACCAGGATACTATGGTATTGACAATGAGGATTTAAAGTGCTGATAAAGAAATTAATTGGTCCACATCTAGTTTCATTCATCTTTTTTTCTTTTTCTTAAAGCTCTTAAAGTGATCTTGGAAACTTTAGTTCTAAAAGACATGAACTATTCATGAAGCATTAAATTTGGGAGAAATCTGCTGATTTTTGTCTGGTAGCCCTGTCTGGTTTATGATAAATTTTATTGTCTTTTCAAAATACTTGTACTTCCTATATCTGTATAATAAAAGATATTAAGGAGAAAAAAAACTCTTTGTTGTATTTGCTGTTAGAATGGGGAAAAAATGCAGCTGAGACCTTTTTTGAAAAAACCTTGAGAACAAGGTTACTATTTTTTATGAAAATAGTTGAGGAATTAGAACTAGTCCTGCTTATTGTAACTGTAGGCAACTTTAAAAGATCTAAATCTTCAAAGTAGATATGATATAGGTTATATAGTGAAGACATAGAGATCACTGAGTATTTGGAGATAATCTCTCTATATAGTTCTTTGGAATTTTTATTTGTGAGAGCATGTTAAATATTTTTAACCTTTATAATAGCATGGGACAAAATAGATGAAGGCATTAACTCTTTGAGCCAGTTGAGAAAAAAAAATTGAATTAAAAGTCAAACCAACTGAAAATGTAAGGTGGGATATAAGAATAACTAAATTATTATTTGGTACCTAAAGTATTATTATAGCTGAATTTTTTTAATCAAAAAACCACCCCATCTTTTTAAAAATGAGCTCTTACAATAGTATTGGCAATACATTTTGTAAAAGGAAAAATTCATTTCACCATGTTAGAACTAGTGTTCTAATTTCAGATCAGTTACGTAGCATGAATATATAAAATGGGGACCACTGAGATCTTGCCTTCTGTATCTAGAGTATGAAAAATAAGATCTTTTTTTAAACAATTCTTATTAATAACTTATATCACCTCCATTCATATTAGGCAGTAGAATAAACTATTGTTCTTTGATTTTGATGGTATATAGGAGTGAAAACCCAACATATTGGCACTAAGGAATTCATCTCTTGGCATTGGAACTAGGATCTGGAGAGATTTTATTTTTATGTATACATATATATATACTTAATCATACACACATATACATCCTATATTTATTTCTTCTTTTGAATTATGTAAGAATGATTTGTCAAAGATCAGATTTCCGATTTGTCTCACTAGTACTTAGATGCTGTGTTTTGCTTTTGTTTTTAGAGTCATAGCTAATTCATAGAAACAGTCCCTACGAGAAATTTAGTTTCTTTGGTGTGATCATGCTCCCTGTCTACTCTAATAGCTAAAGGAAGGTGAGAGAGACAGCCCTATGTTCACCAGTGTTGATTTTTTAGAGAAGGAACAAGGAAATTCTAGCCCAGCCCTCTCCTTGGAGCCATCTAGACCAGCACTGTTCAGTAAAAATATAATACAAGCCACAAATACAAGCTGCATATAAAATTTTAAGTTTGTTTTGTAACCACATTAAAAAGGGAAAAAGAAACAGGAAAAATTAATTTTAATTACATTTAAATTAACCTAATGTATCTAAAATATTATTTCAACATGCAATCAGTATAAAGACTTACGAGATTTTTTATTTTTATTCAATGAAATACTCAAAATCCGATGTGTATTTTACACTTAGAAAAATTTTTTATTGAACTAGCCACATTTCAGGTGCTCAAAAGCCACACACGGCAGTAGCTACTGTATTAGACGGTACAGGTCTACGCCAAGGGTGGAGCTCCCCTTTTTGCATCATCCATGGTGAATTCCACTGGGTAACTGTAAGCTCCCCTAGTTTAGAGTTTCCAGATTTAACAGAACACAAAAAACCAAGAACAAAAGCAAAACAGGGTGCCCAGTTTAATTTGAATTTCAAGTAAATAACAAGTAATTGTTTAGTGTAATTGTGACTCATGTTATACTTGGGACGTACTTAGAAAAAAATGATTTATTTGAAGTACAGATTTAACTGGGCGTCCTGTATTTTATATGGCAATCCTGCCCAGTTTTAACTGAGTGGAAGACATCATCAGACTTTCCTAGATACTTGTAGGACTAGAGCAGAGAATCTCTTCCTCTGCAGAGGATTTTGATAACCAAACCCGCCCCCGCAAAATCAGTATGCAAACCAGAACTACTGATAGCCCATTTCTTCCTAATTCCCTAAGATGTTTAAGACAGATGGGCTTATATCACAGAGACTCAGTCCTTACAAATTTAAACATTTTGAATCTAAACTATTACATTAAGCTGTAAGGTTTATGAAATTTTATGACTTGAATGATTAGTCACTTGAGTTTATAAAATAGAAACTGTCTAACAGCTTATTGCTAGTATCACATCTTACGAAAAACATTTCACCCTTGGTGACCGTCTCGGCAGTTTTCAGTGTCTTGGCTATTTCAAGTTATTTTCCCACCATTGGTTTCCACTGCAGCTGTCACATCATCTTGAGTTGGCAAGCATTAACACAAAATATTAGGTTGCTAAATGCCAGGATAAGGCTTACTTTACACGGCAAGTACTTAAGTACTTGTAATTCTGTGCTCTGGTGTTGATCATTGGACCCTGACCCAGTCGACACCCAGTCAGTTCTTAAACCAGTCTCTCGTTCATCCTGAGGCCTTCTTTTCCAGAACAGCTTTCCATTTGTATTTTTTAAACATTTTTAATGTTCCAGTTTTAGCACCGTTTTGAAACATGTAACAATTTCTTTAGGAGTAGCTGTATCCCTCCTAACCTCTAGAAAAGAGACCATTTATAATTCGTGTTCTCTAAGGACAGTAATTACACCAGCTCCACACTCCCTCTCAAGGGGAACACTTGCCTTCACGAGGTGAATGACTTCAGGTGTCAGGTCTTCGTTACCAGCCAGGCAGGTAGACCCAGCCGCCAGTGCGGTTGGGCAGTTGAGCAGTTCAGTTCCAGCTATGGCGCATTCCAAATCCATTCATGCTTAGGAGAATGTACCCAAGAGTGTGGATATGTTTATAATTACTGCATTTCCTTCAGAGAACAAGAATTACAGGTAAGGTTTGTTTTTTTGTTTGTTTTTTTTTGCAGTGATCCAAAAATTATTTTTAGATAAGAAATTTAAGGATTTGAAAATATTACTCTTTTCCCAAAACAGTCACCTAAAATATCTCAAATATAGCCTATATTATATAAAAGTTTTCTTCCTCACTCTAAGAAGGAATTGAACCTGGAAAGGAGGGGAGTGGGAAGAGACAACTTATTGTCATTTGAAAGCTGTGAAAATCACACATTTCCATGTCTAGAAATATCCTCGGTTTATGTAAGAATCTTACTTTGCCTAACTTCTAAGGTCTAAGGTATGAATTATTTTGTCAAATTAACACCTACATCTATATATAGGGAAGGTGTTCAGCCTTTGTGAGCTAATGTCTTTAACAGCAGTGAGTAAATTAATGAATTGTGTTTGGGTTTTCACTTTTATTCTCAAGTCTGACTGCCTTTGGTTTAAAGGCTTTAACCTTATTTCTGAAACCAAAATTTAAAGCTGCTGCAAAATACCTTAAAACATAGCTCCTTTTTTACCCAATGATGTTTGGATGAGCTTTAAAGGGTCTGTGAATTCCCTGAAATTATACTAAAATTTTGTATGTATGTGTTTTTTGCTGGAAGGAGTGTACATAATTTTCATTCTATTCTTGAAGGGCTTTGCAACAAAAAATTTGGTTAACAACCACTGATCAAGTCTAACATCATCACTTTACTGATAAACTGAATTTCAAAGAATATGTTATTTGCCTTCACTCATTTGAAATTTAATACTTGTAAAAACTAAAGTTTGTTTCTTAAAAAAAAACAAACAAACAACCATTGTGCTTGTTTTTAGAAGGAAAAGCTTTACCTTGAATTAATTAAACTTGAGAAGACCAGCCTAAATAGGGACAGTTAACTTGCTACTAGTTTCTTCCATTCTACCCTTTGACTAGAATCTTTATCAGTTGTTACATAAACATGGCCTCTCAACACAGTATGAAACTGTGTGATAAATTCTTGAAGATCA